GACGCTGCCCGGCTCTCAGAGCGCATCCGAAGGACACAGATGCTGCTAAGCACGCTGCAGACTCCATCGGGAAGCTGGGCCACGATCCCCAAACTGGCTCCCCGAGCCCCCTCACTCTGCCGCCCGTGGCCGGCTCCCCGCGTGTGCCCCCCCAGAGCAGCACGAACAGGCCGTGGAAAGGTGACTGGTGAGCATGTGCACAAAGCAGGGGCCTGTGTGGGCCGCAGAGAAACCCCCCATGTCTGGGCTGGTGCTCTGCAGGGTCGAGAGAGGGCGTATAAATATATAAGAAAATGAACACCCATCCTTCTCAAACTCCCAACCCTCCCAAGCCCATGTGTTCCTGATAGCAAAGCCAGATAAGAGCAGCAGAGTAAAGAAATCCGCAGGCCGCTACCCCCGGTGAACGCAGAGGCGGAAATCCTCAACGAAACACTGGCCAACTGACTCACCGAAGCAGTCATCCAGCCTGATCGCTGTGGTCCCCGCCCCGACGGCCCAGCGCACGCAGACCACGTGCCGTGCGCGTCAGCAGGATGAAAGAGGAATCAAACGAGCATCTGGACAGACGCAGAAGCAGCATTTCACAAAAGTCACTATCAGCACGATTGAAAAGAACCCTCGACCTAACAGAGTGCTCATGTGACCAGCCCACAGGAAACACACGCAACAGTGAACGGGTGAAAACTTTGTCTCAAACGTCAGGAGCGAGACAGGGAGCCCGTCCCCACTCCCGTCCAGCACGGAGCTGGGGGCCCTGGCTGGGGGTCAGGCAGGAAGAGAATAAAAGGCACCCAAATCCTACAGCAAGGCCACAGGATCCGAAATCCACGTCAGCAGATGAATAAAGACAGAAAGTGTGGTGCGTGGACACACAGCCAGTACCGACCGTCTGGGACAACATGCAAGGACCGGGCGGGCGCCGTGCGGAGATGGACATGCACTGCGTCACCTCACTCACGTGGAGAATGGAAACAGGCCCAACCCGCGGAAGCAGAGTAGACCAGTGGCTGCCAGGGATGGGCGGGGGCAGGGCAGGGGCGAAGGGGGTCCAGAGGTACAAACATTCAGTTCTAAAACAAGGAGGTCCCGGCTGGAATGGACTGCAGGGCAGCCGTTTGTTGAATCCGTGTCCCATCGTCTGCAACCATGTCTGGTGATGGACGTGCTCAGCGCGGGGACCATTTCACCACGTACACGACCATCAGATCATCATGTTGTCCGCCTAAACCAGGATAATGCTATGCGTTGATTCCCTCCCAATAAAAATAAATGAAAAGTAGGGATTGGGGGCTGGGTGGCTCAGTCAGTTAAGCATCTGCCTTCAGCTCAGGTCATGATCCCGGGGTCCTGGGATCGAGCCCCGCATCGGGCTCCCTGCTCGGCGGGAAGCCTGCTTCTCCCTCTCCCACTCCCCCTGCCTGTGTTCCCTCTCTCGCTGTGTCTCTCTCTGTCAAATAAATAGAATCTTTAAAAAAATAATAAAAGTAGGAATTGGGCCCATGATGTGAACAGAGCATGCCTACCTACCTCCCCCGGCCCCAGCCCTCACGGCCAAATTCCCTAAACGTGTAAAGGCCTATTTGCCCCCAGGAAGATAAGGACACGCATGTGTGGATGGCAAGGTGTGCAGGAGCCGCAAAGCTGGGGGGGGGGCCTCCGGCGGGAGGAGGCGGGGACTGGGGGGCATCAGGGCCCCTCTAGGTGGCCACGTGACCCACCGTGGAGCCACCCACCCAAGCACCCCACGTGTCTGCACCTGCCCCCACCCCCCACGTGGCAGGAGGAGCAAGCAGGAACCGCACTGCAGACGGACGGATGGAACGCCCGGAGCAGTGCTGAGGCATTTTCGCAGGCTGCAAGCACGGGCTGTGCGGTCAGTCTGAGAGCAGGAGGCCTCTGACCCACGACCATCCTGCTGCAGCTCGGGGACGTGTCCACACACACTGCACACCAACCACAGGAGCACGGAACCCAGAGGCGCTCCGGGGGCGCAGGTGAGAGCTCACCGGAAGGACACGTTTTATCCCCCTGGACATTCAGAATTGCCAGCCCCCTTCTGATAGAAAGAAAAGGAGGCAAAGGCACAGGAGACCCGTTCAGTCTCGCGGGGACCAGAGATGCAGATGAGAGCCGGTTCACACATACTGAGCTGACACCAGGAATACTGACAGCAAACACTCCTTGCTGGTAAAATATCCGTCATTTCTCAGGGGCAGTGAGCACTGACGCCACAACTGTTGGTAAACAACTGAGCAAAATGTTTCAAGAGCCATGGGATTACTTCCTTTTCGATGCAGAAACCCAATTTGAAACTTTAACCTGGAAAATAACATGGGGTGAAAAGCCGTAAGCAGAACGACATCAAAGACATCAGTGTCTGTCGATCCACCTACCTCGTACATGTGGACAGAAAATACATCGAAACAGTAACGTAATATGTAGACCAAGAAAACACATATGTGCTGCATGTAACACACAAGCACGGAAATCACCTCCTTGTAAAATAATTCAAGGGTTTGGTAAAATATCGCACACAACTGGATGTTTTATGCGTATCCGCTACAAGTAGAATTACGAACAACACGTCGCAACTCGGAAAGTGGTTGAGAAGAGCAGAAGTCTGCACGCAGGCGGCTGCAGGGGGCACATGATGAGGACAAGCAAGGCACGTCTGTCTGTTTGCAGGGATGCAGGTGCCGTGTGGGAGAGCCGTGCGCAGGGCTGGGCGGCTGGTGCCGACGGAGGTTCCCGCACACCACACACCTACGCAGGGGGACACAGGCCTGAGCAGACCCTCTCCCCATCCTCCCTCCCCAGGCCCAGGGGCTGGTTCTCGCCCCCTGCCGCCCTGCCCGGGGGACGGAGGCTCCTGAGAGCCGGGGTGTTGTCCACCACGGTGTCCCCAGAGCTAGGATGTGCTGGGTACACAGTAGGTGCTGAATAAATGTCTGAATTCCAGGGCGGGATGTCACCCATGTGTGTTTCTCCACAGATTTTTGTCTTGAGACTCCATCCCGCTCACCTCCCACAAGCAAAAAACTTTAGGACCACACTTCATCTTAAGGACATTGAGAGTTTATTTCATCAAAAATCACATGTTTTCACTACTTAGTGGCATTCATCATTTTTCCTGTGCTGTGAACTACTCTAAACACACGATTCTTTCCAATTTATCATCTTTGGCCAAATTATGTGTAGATAACAAAGCACTGCAGAAGCCAAAATCTAGAGCCTATAAATAAAGTGCACTGCTCTCCTTCATTAGAAATAAAAAGTTTGTTCATTACTCCCCTTGATATATTAGCTATGTAGAGTGAATATGCTGAGCGTCAAACACAGAATTCCCCCTAAAGGAAAGACAGTTCCTTACTCGATTTGCTTCACCAGAGACAAAAGAGAAAAAACTCCAAGTGTAGATCTCAGGAATACAGTGTTCTCACTTCTAGGTGCTTGTGGGCATGACGAGGATCCAACGCCCAGTTACAAGCGGATCTGGTTTCTGGAGTCCCGAGGAAGCCTGGGCAGGGGCTGGGCACACTCGGGCTTTTCACTACGCACACAGGGTCTCAGCAGCGCTCCAGCCCCCCGCCCAGCCCCAGGGGCCACACAGAGGTAACTGCCACCGTCATCCGTGCTGGGTCGGCTGCCGGCCCCGGGGCCTCGTGGGGATGCGAGAACAAAGATGCACCGCGATCCACACGGGGCTCTCAGTCAGACCCCTCCCCGTGCAGGACATGCCTGTGGGTGACTGAGTGATCGGGGTGGCACCTGAGCAGGAGGGGGAAGGCACGCAGAACTATGGAGGAAAGGCCCCCCGAGAACCGGCGGGCGTGTGGGGCGAGCAGGGCTTGGTGCCACCACGGTCACAGCTTACAGAAGATTCTCCAGTATCAGCTACAGGTCTGAACGTCTGACCCTCACGGCTCACACACACCGTCACTGCGGACGCCCCGGTCTGAGCTTTCCCAGACTGTGTCCCCATATTCAATGGCACTGGGGGCGCTTCTAAGGTCACAGGCCCTCGTGTCCCACACACACAGTGGTAACAGCCACTCCATTTCCTAGGGGACCCAGCCCCAGCTCACAAACCAACGGCAACCAGCAGACACAGCCACCGTCAGGCCCGTGGCGTGAGCGGCCGTGCAGGGGGCAGCCGGCCTCTGCGGCCACACGGAATGCGCTCGCTCCCCACCACGGGCATGTGCCCGTGAGAAACACAGAAGGCGTCTGCAGGGGACCGACAGGAAGCTCCGGGGAAGTGAGGCCGTGGGAAACCCCTGAGGGGCCGCCGGGACGAGGGGGGGCTCAGGTGTTCGCAGTGGGGCCCAGGACGAGGCGGACTGTGAGTGTGGAGAGAGCACATGGGGGGCTGGGAGCTGTCTCCCCGCAGCGGGCCCGCCCCGCTCCTCCCCGAGAAGAGGCATTCACCTGTGGCCGGGCCTGAGCGGCCAGCGCCCACAGCCTAAAGCCCCCGCACAGGAAGGCGAGCGTGGCCCGCGGGGCGCCGGCCTGCACAGGGCCCCTCTTCTCAGAGCTTGTGACGGCTGATTCAGCAGGTCGAGGACATTCTTCACCTCCTCACACACCCGTCTGCCTCCGTCTGACCCTCGGGGGGGCCTCGGGGCCTTCACCTCCCCCACAGGATCTGGCCCCTCTGATCCCAAGTCCCCATCACGGCGCCCAGGCTAACTTGCCCTCCTCGTACGGCAGCCCCAGGGTCCTGTGTGCCCTCGGCGGGTGCCCCGGGGCACAGTCACTTGGCCACGGGAGGACCAGAGCCGGGAGGGCCGCCCACGACTGTGCATCAGGCTTTGGGCCCGGCAGTGGGCTCTGTCACATGGAAGGGTCAGAAGTGAGGAAGCCTGTCACGGGGGCCAGGATCCCCACATCCAGACGGCAACAAGGAGAGGGTCCCACGGTGAAGGCAGAGTGGTTCTTGTGTTTAGTTTGCGGGGTGTGTTCTGAGCAGCAAGATGGCCAGTCAGCAGCCTCCCTGCTCACACGGTGGACAGGTCCACGCGGTGGGCGGAATGGCTGCTCTTGTCCCAGGGGCTGAGCTTGGTGGACACGGTGCCTGGCCGGGTCCCATTCATCTGCAAATCACAGAGGAGTGAGCTGTGAAGATTCGGTCCCAAGATGGGAAACCAGTCCCCGGGGAGTGCAGAGGCGCCGGGCCAGAAAGCTGTGTGAGGCTCCCCTCCAACCCAGCAGGGGCCCACTGCTCCCCGAGGAAGGGAGCCCCCCACTCCAAGGGGCCACCGCTCCCCGCCGTCTGCACTGGCATCCTCCCTCGTCACTTCCGCGAGCTGGTGTGCACACGCGTTCACTCGAGCTCCCCTCTGTCCGTCCGAGCACTCACTCCACGTGCACGCACCGAGCACGGCCTGCCCCTGCTGCAGGCTCTGGGGTCACAGGAGTGAACAGTGCCAACCAGATCCTGGTTCCCATGGTGTACCCGCCCGGGGGAGGCGCAAGATAGCCACACGCGCATCACTAATCAGAACATGCGGGTGGTGGCCGGGGCACCACACCGCCCGGGAAGTTCTTCCTGAGGGAGGACCCCTGAGCCAGGCCCTGGGGTCATGCAAGAGGCAGTGGCGCCATGAGAACACGCGTCATCTGGCCCAGGCCCCTGGGGGTCCTGCTTGCATCTGCACTTCCCGCAGGAGGGTGAGCCAAGCCCGGGGTGGAGATGACAGGCTTGTCGAGATCCCTGAGCACCAAGACCCCCGTTCTCGGTTGTCTGCAGAGGGAAGAGACCCCTGCAGGGGAGGAGCTCCCTGAAGGCCGGGCTGTGCCTGGTGACGTTCATGCCTCCCCGGGACACCAGCAGCATGCCCAGGGTCTGTCTCCGGTCAACTGATCCTTCCATCCTCCTAAGTCAACACGGAAGTCCTGCCCCTGGGAAGTGGGCAGGAGGTCGTGGGAAACCACAGGACAGAGGACCCTGCTGTGGGCATAATGTCACCGCAGAGCACAGGCTGTCTGCCAGCCACGTCAACTGTGAGAGGGCTGAGCAGGAACCACTAGCACCCAAGCCTCATGACCACGACCCCAAGCGGGGCAGCTATGTGCCCTGCCAAGGTGCCCTGCCAAGGTCAGGCTCAGGGAAGGAAGGAGAGGTGCACTGGGCGCTCTGGGTTAGGAGGCCCAGGAGGGCAGAGGCCTGGTGCACCTCAGCAGGGCTGGAAGCCGCTCTGGCTTTCCAGGTGACAAGGAAAGAAGACATGAGCCCGCGGGCCCGTGAGGGTAAGGATGCAGGTACGCAGGGCAGGATCGAAGCAAGAGGAGCGGACGCAGACACGACACTGCACGGCACTCACGACATCGGAGCTGAAGGGCTTCACGTTAGTGTTGCGGATGGAGCTACTCGTGAGGGTCCAGACCTTGGTTTTATGTTTGAAGGCAGCCCTCACCTTTGAAGGCAGAACAGAGAGCTGGTTAGAAGCAATTTCACTGGTGGAAACAGCAACAACAAGAGGTTGTTCTCAAAGGACCCTAGGTTTTGTGCCAAAATAAAGTCCCAGAATACCAACTGCAGGGTATGAGCAGGATTTGGAAGCATCATATCCAGACTCACTGCCTCATTCGGCAGGTGCAGACTCTGTCCCCACCACCGTACCGGGGCCTGCGGAGGGAGAAAGCTGGATCTGGTGTGGTCCCTGCTGGCCTCATGCCAGTTCTGGGCAGGGCACCGGACATGCTCAACAAGGAATGGTGGAGGGGGCAGAGTGGGCCGGCAGCAGAAACAATGGAGAAGAAAGTGAGCAAATGCAAACATGGGGTGGGCCATGTATGGTTCAAGGCCACGTCCCTTTCCCACCTTGTGGACCATAGTTTTGGGCCCTGCTCGGCTGCTCCCTGGCTTGACAATCATGTGACCCCTTCCGCTAACTGGTCACCATCATCTTCAGCAACTCAGCCTGCCCCCGCACCCTCCCGGCCCCAGCTTCCTTTCCCTCCCTGCCTGACATCTATCTCTGTATGAACAGACCCTCTGCAGAAGCAGCACAGATGGGGTGGTACCTCTCTGTCTGTTCCCACTCACCACTCCAGAGGTAGCTCCCCATGACCGAGCCTCGAGGAACGGGGTCTGGAGCAGCCTCCACCCTCCCCGTGGCCAAGTGCACGGCAGGTCAATGCCCAGACTGCACTTGAGAATGAGCCCACTCCAGCTGCCCCAATGCCTGCAGAGGACATGTGACACAGTCCCCCAAAACCCTACAGTCAGGAGACCTCCTTCTTACGTCCCAGACAGCTTCCTCGTGCCTTTGGGGAGGACTGCTGGAAGGACATCTCTCCCTAATGCGCCAGACAGCAAGCAAGCAGGTCTAGATTCTGCAGGTCAGCTGCCCCCCACTGTCTCCATCGCCCCTGTCCCCCAGAGAACCAGCAGGGCCTGTGAGATGCCAGGAAGGGGCTCCTGGATGTTGCTCAGCGACCAGGATGCAAGAGAAGGGCTGACAGAAAGCACCTCCACTGTACACTGTCGCCACTACCGAAGCCCGTTCAGGATCACGCTCCCGGACACCAGCCCGATGGGCAAGACTGTTCCTGCACTCTGTGCCCCTTCAGAAATGAAAACACTGCCTCTCGTTTTCAGGAAGTAGAACAGACGTACCTCTGAATTCAGGAGACAATGGAAAAGGAAGATGAAAAACCCCTGGGGAGAAAGAGAACACAGGATTAGGCCTCGCATTTTGTCGCAGCACTTTCCGAGGCTTCCTCCCGAGGCCACGTGGGTTGGGGACTGGCATTGGTGTGGCCCACGGCTGGGGAGCCTGCAGGTGAGCTGTGGGACAATCCTATGTCTGGAGCCCCTGACAATGGAGGGGCGTCCTGGATCCCACGGTGAGATCTAGCCTAGGGGCAGGCACCCCACTGTGACGACCGTGCTGGCTGGGCAAAGGTACGGGGTCGGGTGGATTCCCAGACAGGACGGACCCAAGAATGAGGGAAACGCGGGGGATGGGCCAAGGTGAGGACGTCAATCAACTAAACAGCCCGGGTGTCCTTATCTCAGACAGCACGGTAACAACAGTGAAATGGGCACGAGAATGAAGATGTCCCCAGAACTCTGAAGACAGTGACGGTGCGTCCAGCACTAGGCAACACCTCCCGTGATTTATCTCAGTCACTGCTGAAGCCGCCCCGAAGTGGGTCCTGTTATTGTTCCCATGTTATGGAGGAGCGACTGGAATGCAGAGGGTAAGTGAGGTACCCCGGGACCCAGGGCGTGTAAGGGCTGCGGCCAGGACAACGGACCACATTTTTCTGTAAACCACCAGAGGGAAACAACGTGTGCAGCTGATTACAGTTAGAAGCCCAACACACTTCCCTAAGACGCAGTCTGGTCAGAAAGGCCCAGACCGCAGCAGGGGCGGCACGGGTGGGCCACGCTCACCAGGATTCAGCCGTAGGCTCAGCTGTGCGGCTGTGGGTGGTGGTAGGCAATCACTTCCGCCCTTTCTCGGGGGGGTGTGGGTTTGGGGATGCAGGCTCTGGGCACCCCGAGTCTCTGGTCTCCAGACTGCTGCCCCCTCCCTGCCCCTCCATGCAGGGGACACATGCGGACCCAGACCTGAGGTGCACACCATCAGCATCTCTCTGCGCTCGGCCCCCCTTCCAGAGCTGCACACACGGGACTATCTTGCCTTTCAGGCCCAGGGGTGCCTCCCACCGGTACCAGCCGGCGTGATGAGGCAGCCCTGCTGCAAACTGGGGGATGGCCCTGCAGGCCCCGTGGGCAGAGACCCTGGTGCGTGCCCCATCGGCACATGTCTTCGGACCTCGGGCATGCCCGTGCTATGGGCTCGCAGCGGGTGAGGCAAGAACAGAGAGGAGGGTCTCTGTCCTGCCTGGGGGGCAACCTACTCCACACACATCCACTCGTAGGCTGACAGCCTGCCTGGCGGTCCCACAGCGCTCACCTGTAAGGAGTTGAGGATGGCAAATATATACTGGAAGGCCAAGGTCTGGTTGTTGACAGCAAGTACACCGAAGACCCACGAGGTTCCCAGGATGGGCAGCAACACGGCCACGGCTTTTGCCGTTAACCTGAAAGAGAAGTGGAGATGGCCACTCTGGGGGGCGGGCGGGTGAGGGTGGGTCTAGGGGACTGTCCTCTCAATGTGAGGCCTCTGAAAGGGAGCAGACACAGCCCTGCTGGGGGCCGGACCTGGTCTCCATCCTGCAGGGAACCTTGGGTGAGGAGTGAGCCGCTCAGGACCTGCTGCCAAGCCAGCAGCCCTGCCCCCCACTCTCCTGCACCTGGCACTGGGCACCCAGCAGCCGTCACGCCCCCTGGGCACCCTCAGCTGATCACCCTGATCCAGCCGGCCCCAGTGCTGGATGGAAATGTTGATCCCAGGCATCCACGGAGGACAGCAGAGCCAGGGCTCCAGTGTGGGCCCAGCAGGGTAGGAGGCATGCTCAGAACCAGCCTCACCGGCTCCTTCTCAGAATGTGGGTTCCGTGGAGTGTGGTCCCTGCTGCGTGTGCAAGCCCAGAGCAGAGCTAACACCCAGTCAGCCCCCAGTGAGTGCCAGCCGAGCGAATGATGCAAAGCCCACATGGTCGCCGGGCTCCAAGCCGTCTCTGACAGACCTCGCCGTCTACCCTGACTTCTGAAACAGCTCGGCTTTGTACACCGGGGGTTCTGCACCCGGGCTTCAGAGAAAAGCCTGCAGACAGAGGCGAGCTGCGCTTGTCACTGGGTGCATGGATGACACATCTGTCTCCCTTGCTAGACCACGAGCTCCCACGGCTGGGCGGGGGCTTCACCGCGGCATCCCCAAAGTGTAGCACTGGGGCCCAGCAGGCTCTCAGGAGCTGACCGCTGAATGGGGAATGAATGACCAAGGGAATGAGGGCTGGACAGACCGAGCAGTGTGCACACATCCAGCATCTCTGGGAGAAGGTGCGGCATGGCCACACTGAGCTTCCTGGTGGGACACCCAGGGTCCCAGCCCTGGCAGCTTCTGGCCACAAACCCTGAAAACCAGAGGATGGTGCTCACAGGTCAGCTGCCTGCGGAGCAGCAGCCCCACGTCTTCCTAAAGTCAATACAGTCAAAACACCGAAATCTGGGAAACAAAGCATCATGGATATGCAGCTTCATCTTTACATCCTGGAAAATCCATATGGGAAAAGAGCCGTCTCGAGAAATGGGTCTCAAATTGTGCTGTTTTTTCTTAAAAACTAAAGCATCGAAACAGAAGATCTTGGGGAAGATGTGTCCAGCTGGAGGTCCCCAGGGCCTCTTGTTGACATGGCCAGAGCTTCGGGGTCCCCTCGTCACGCACAGAAGGAGCAGGTCCCTGCACTGGGAGGAGGCCCTGGGCAGGTGCACACACCTCCTCCTGCTGCTCCCCGGGCCGGCCCTGCATGGGGCTCAGTCCACGTGAGCCTCCTCCCCTCCTCCCACGGCTCGTGGGGGTCTTTGTGGTCGTCAGCCTCACCCTGGCCCCCAGAAGCCTGGATCTCACTTGTGAAAGTGGAATGTTCCCTGCTCCTCTCTGGGGAGTCTGGAATCCCCCAGGAAACAAAGACTGAGGAGGACATGGAAGCCCCTTCAGGCTCCTAAGGAAGCACATCGTCCTGTTGGTCACTTGAGTGTGTAGTTGTTCCCACAGAGGAAACAGCCACATTGAAACCGAGGGCCGGAGAAGAGGAAGGAGCCCAGAAGCCAACCAAGGATGCTGCAGGTGCTGTCCCCCTGCCTGGTCTGGAGCCTGGTGGGACCGGGCCACACGGGGGACCCCAGAAGACAGTGAGGGGGCCCCACGGAGCCAGGCTCGGCCGCGTGGAGGACAGAAGCCCCAGCACTGGTCACACAGCCAGGTCACACCACAGAGCTGCGTGTCTGTCCAGAGACACCTCCTGAGCTCTCCCGGGAGGAGCGCGACCTTGGGCCTTCGGGTGCAGGACACGGGAGGCCTCAGCGGTTGGGCCAGCAGCCGAGGTTCGGCAGAGACGTGGAAATGTGCTCCCTGTGCCCGGTCCCTGACCCTGGGCCAGCCTCCACTCGGGGAGCCAGGATGCAGCGGTGGAGGGAGGGAGGCTGCTTCCTGGGGGCCATGACGGGGAACAATGGGGCGCACTGTGTGGGGTGAGCTTGAGGCCGCTCTGGGCAGTGACAGCTGCAGTCCCGGTGGGGTCGGGCTCAGACAGTGGAGCCAGGCCTTCTGCTGGAGACAGGGCTGGGGACACTGGCTGGCCCTGAGCCCAGCTGCAGGGAGGGAGGGACAGGATCCTCCCTGGCCAGGCCACAGGGTAGGGCTGCCTCCTCCCGCCAGGGAAGAATGGATGTGCTCCGTGACCCGGGAGGCCCTTCCTGCCCCACGGTGCTGCCCTCGAAGGTGCCCGGAGACTGAGGAACCCCCCGAGGGCCAGAGCTGCCTGTCAGTCCCATTCACAGTGTTAGGAATTCATTACAGAATAATCGTCTTATCGATTTGCTGCTGACATATTTACTGCTTTTGCTCTCAGATCGGAAAAGATACAGTATAGCTAAAGTAACTTAGCTGCCTAGTGTCCCTGTCCTAAATGTTCACAGCAGCCCCCAAGTTCCCTGTGAGGAGCCAGCTCCCCCACTTCCTGGCCCGCAGTTTGGGGTTGCTGAGTGCACTCCAGAGCCAAGCTGGACCGTGGGACTCAGGCCTGGGTGAACTGGTCCCTTCCATTCTGCTGTGACTGGTTCCGGGGTGGGCGTGTGACCCGACCGGAGCCCCAGGCTCCAGGCTCAGGACCTCTGTCTGAACAGACGGGGTGGAGGGTCTTCCCGCGTCACCAGGAGGCAGGTCCGTCTGAGCAGGAAGCCGACAGGGGACACAGGGGTGAAGGATGCAGGAGGAGCTGGGTCCCCTGGATTAAGCCATTCGAGACTCCCTCCTGGACTCTGTGGATCCGTGTGTGGATCAGTCCCCCTTTCCTTCAGCCAGGGTGTGTTGGGTCTTCTGTCACTTGCAGTCAGTGCAGCCTTCAGCGATACGGGGTCAGGACCCCTCGAGGGCAGGGGGCGGGGGGAGTCCCTCCGCAGGGGACCGGCCCTGGAGCGCCTCGGGAAGTTCTACCCCGAGGAGGTTCCTCCTCACGACAGCTCTTTACAGACAGGAGAGCAAGGCACAGAGGGGGCTAATAGCAGGGGCTGAGACAGGACTGAATCTAGAATCTTCCTTCTTCAGTCCTGCAAGTGGCCTCTCACCCCAGCGATGGAGCAGCCCCCAGATGGCATCTAGTAGACCCCCTGCTTTATGAATGGGGCAGCAAGGCTGGTAAAGGGCTGGTCCTGGTCAGAGAAGGTGACCAACAGCCAAGCAAGGACTTGAGTCCCGGGCTCCCCAGTGACCCCCACCCCACGACCCCTGAGCGGCTCTGTGCGGGCAGGACCACCGCTGATGGCCCCGAGTCCAACTTACTTGAAGGCGCTGGGGTCCCCGTGTATCTTGTAGTTGTCGGCGCTGATCTGTGAAATGACCCTGGTCACAGCAACAAGGATGCCGACGTTGACCTGCACGAGGGGAAGACCAGGACCTGAGGGCCGCGGCCGCACCTGCAGAGCCCGGATCCCACCAGGCAGCCGCCCATCCCGCCCCCAGGGCTCCAAGTGAGCAGGTGGCGTCTGCAGAAACCGACCCCCAGGGGTCCCTGTGCATTTCACTCCCCTTGCCACAGGCAGCAGCACCCTCTGGGAGCACATCTGTGCCGGCGAGGAAGGTCTGGCCCCCAGGAGCACAGCAAGGCAAGGCCTGGGGTTCAAACCTCACTTCAGCATGGCTCCGTCTGAGCGCCCCTGCGCCACACCTTGTGCCCTTGTTTCCCCATCTGATGAGAAACAGTCAACACCCACAGTGCGAACAGACCATTGCAAGGACGAGAAATCATATCCATGAAGCCCCCTGTGCACCACTTGCTCTCACTCCCCGGCCGAGGCTAGGTCACCCATGGAGGCCACAGCGCAGGGGACTGCACCTGCCCAGTGCTCCCATGGGGTCAGTGGGCTGGGTGGCAGGGCTGAGGGGGTCTCTGCAGAGGCTTCGGCACAACCTGTCCCTCCTGCGGGCAGCTCTACGGGGCCCTGGCTGAGCCTGGCAGCAAGGGGAAGCGAGCGCGTGGACTTCCTTCTGCTGCCGCTGGATTCAGGGCTGAGCTGCGGCCGGGACCCTCTCTTCCCTCTGGTAACCTCGGGAGGTCAATGACAAAGTCGCTGAGGAGTCCAGCTCCAGGCCAAAATCCTACGTGCACTTCCAGGCCTGACCACAGCCAAGGACAAGGCTTTCCCTGGCAGACCTCCCGGGAGAAGTGGCCCTCCCCACCCAGCCTGGTGCCCAGCAGAACCAGCCGGCACTGCGGGGCTTCGGGCCTCCCACCCCGGCGGCCGGTCCCACGAGCAGGTCTGCATGCCCAGCCCAGGCACCTGCACCTGAGGCCTCCTCACGGGGGCCCTAGCCTGAGGCACCGCGGCCGACCCCCTTACCCTGCAGTCCCCACAAACTCAGTGCTTTTCCACAGCAGCTCTTCTCAGGCCCCCCCTCCCCAGCCTCGGCCACCTGTCCTCCAGGGCTCCGTGCGCGCCCTGGACGGAGAACCCGGGATGGCGGCGGTGGGGGGGGGGTCCTCCCCACTCAGCCCCAGCCTGCACTACTGCAACCCGCCAACGAAGGTTCGCGTGCAGCCTGGCTCCGTGTCTCTGCCAAAGCCTCCAACCCGGGGCAGCTCGGCTCCTGGCTGTGGACCCCCGTCACCTACCTCCTCTCCCACCTGCACGAGGATCCTAACAGAAGTCCCCCAGCGCCAGGGAGGAGGAGAGGAGTCACTGGCAGCACTGCCCTCCTCCCCTCCCCCGCCAGCCATGTTACAACCACGAGAAAACCGCACTCAGCCACGTGGAGGAAGGATGGGCAGAGTGAGGCCCCAGAGGTGCAGGGACTGCATTCCAGACAGCGGCTGCTCACGGAAGTCCACAGACAGCTCAGCTCTGAGAGCCACAGGCGGTCACGTCGGCAGCACACCTGCTGCTCCCTGCGACCGGAGGGCGGGGCCGCCAGGAGTGCCTGTTCCACCGAGACTCGGCTGCTTTCCTGAATAAATGCTCTTTGGCTTTATGCTTTGGGGTAAAGTTTAGATTCTGATGATTCCTGCAGGACTTCCCATGCATTTTGAGGGGAGGTGCGTGCTGGTCCCATCCACCACCCTGCAGGCCCGCCCGGCCTCGCCCACTCTTCGATTGACATCCTGGGCTCCTCGCGCCCTGGGCAACACTGAGGCCTTGTCTGGAACAACACAAGCCTGGAGACCACGGGACTGTGCACAGCAGGCGCCGGTCTGAGGACGGCCATGGCCCGCCCGCTCTGCAGCGGGACCATGGACCCGGGCCGCTCTTCCCATGCTGACAAAGCCAGAGTCCAACGGACATCGTGTGGGAAAGGCCCCGGATGGACGGGCGAGCATGTGTTTACACTCGCCTCTCTCGGCATAAAGCCTGGAGGATATGCGAGTAATTAGCACCAGGGGCTCTGCTGGGGGCGGTAGGCACAGGGGGCTGAGAAAGAGCTGAGCAGACGGTTCATATACGTTAAGCTTCTTTTTCAAGTTCCTAAGCATGTGGGTTACAATTCCAGAATCACGTTACCCCTCGTCCACCGGCACCCACATGACCCAGGGCCTCCCCTCGGCCGGCTGCCGGCCGAGGCCCTGAGACTGCCCCCCAGGGGAGAAGCAGGGGCACACAGACGGTGCCTGACGGGACTGTGGGCCTCTCTCGCCTCCTGGCCTCTGCAGGAAGTGTGGCCACTGCGGGGAAGTCGCTGCCATTGCCGGCAGCTTCCAATCAGCATCACCTGCTGTCTAGGCAAGATTTCTCTGGGTTCCTTCCTCTGCTCTCTGTCCCCGCTGGCTCTGTGCTTCCCTCTGGCGAGCGCTCTCTAACCTCAGTAGGACAGTCCCCCTGCCTACACAGCAAGAGAGTTCCCACCCGCAGACCTCCCACCCCGCAACCAGCTCATTCCGGGGGAGGCTGCGCCAAAAACCCCTAGTGTTTTGGGAACGTCCGGAGCAGAAGCGGGCCTGCCCCTTACCCCGGCCGCTCGTCCTGGCCGGTGCCTGGCTGCCCGTAGGGGGAGGCCCGGGGTGTGGAGGCCCGTGCGCCTCCAACTGGCGGTTTCATCAGCTGGGCACCCCCGTGTGACTTCGGCCAGCAGGCTACCTCTGACAGAGGCTGCAGGAATAATTTGTGGGCCACATTTCAGCAGAAAAGAAAAAGGGGGAAGGATCTGCCCTCAAGGTCATGTGACCATGGGAGGTGGTCAGGGCTGCACGGGGCCTGGGGGTAGCACCGTGTCCTGCTCCCTGACCTGGCAAGAAGCTCCAGGGATGCGTGCCACGACTCACAGGGAATGCATTACACGGAAATACACAGGAGACGCCGCGATGTGCGTCCACAGCTGTTCCTCTGTCCCTGGGGGCACCTGTGTCTGGGCCTCTGTGACCCACACCATAACCCTGCCGCATCCATGCTTCCGTGGACACAGCACCCGGCCTCTCCTCAGAGGAGTGTCTCTCTTGCCCCATGAGGCCTGCACAGAACAGGCCCCCCGAGTGGCTGAAAGCACCCCCGGGGACTCTGCCACCCATAGGGTCCCCATGTGGGGTGTCCAGACATGACAGCTTGTACAACACCTGCTGGTCCCGTGGGCTGTGTGCCCTCGGGCCGTCCACCCTCCCATCCAGAGAATGGCAGCCACTTCCCTTCCTGATCTGAGAACAGTTTGTGCAGTGACAAGGCAGGCTGAGGCTCACTTCTGCTCTTTTCTCCCCAGTGACCCTTCACTGTCCCCCAGAGTCCTGCCCCAGCAGGACCAACTGTACCAGAACACGCAGAAACCACCTATCCCGATCCAAACAGGCACCTTTCTTAAAATGTGTTCCAAACTGGCAAGCCCCCGTGGGTGCTTTCAGCCACTCGGACTGTTGGAGCCTATATCCCCAGACGGGAGCCCACCCCCCCCAGGGAGCCACCGGGTCTGCGGCCCCGAGCACTACCTCACAGGAGCCTGGGCCCAGACTCGGCACACGTGGCATGGGTGCGCGCCGGCCACGCTTGTTATTCTGAAACCCGCTGTCTTCATTTGGAAATGAGGCGCTCTGTCTGAGAAAACGGAGACAACCCCAGACACACAACCAGAGGTACCCTGAGGGGATAAGAGGCAAGCCCCCCAACTGCTGGGCCAGTGTGAGGCTGGACAAGTGCAGCCCCCAGCCCCGAGTCTACTCAGCTGCTGCAGCACAAAATCCACCACAACCGTGGCCGTGTGCCCACATGACTGTGTTTGGAAGTGGGGAGAAGGCCACACTGGGCCACAGTTAGTGGATGCCCGACTTGGCTATGAAATCCCGGAACCCCTTCCACCCATGCCCCCCACCTTGGCCCCAGTACTCTCCCATGTCCCGTCGGAGCACGGCAGCCCTCAAGCTGGCTCCAAAATGGAATCACCTGGGAGACTGGACAGGCCAGATCCAATCAAACCAAAAACCTCCAGAGATGGGGCTCAGGTGGAAACCAGTAATTCCATGATGTGACATATTTGAGGACTGCTGGCCTTCAGGGTGGCTGGCAGGCCAGGAGCTAACGCCCCCTGAGCCACGGGAACAGGGGCTCCCGTGAGCCTGGAGGACATGGGGTTGCCAGGAGCCTGCACTGGACCCCACGCCGTGGTGGCTGCTGGAGAAGGATCCAGGCAGGGCGGCCTCCGGTCCCCAAAGTCACGCACGTTACATCTCAGATCACCCGGAAACGTCTGGGACGCGGGATGCTCCTGCCCCGGGCTCCGGATCTGGAGTGCAAAGTTCAGCACAGAGAACAAGGCCCGCGATGCTCATTCAGTTACTTCCCTTCTTCACTCTCATCAGTAATGTTCCCTTCAGACCCCCTCCCGACGTCCACGCTCTGACCCCGGGAATTCATTTGTCCAGGGGCCCGGAGTCTGTTCTAAGCCTGTTTCTACCTCTGGGTGGAGCAGATGAATGGTCTTCCCGGACCCCAGACAGCGGGTGGAGCTTGGGATCTCTGACTGCAGGCCTGTGATCCCCTATAGGCTGGGTGGGCAAGGGGTCGTGGCAGAGGCTCAGGCAGCCCCGGGGACGGGGGACGGCCCTGGATTTGCAGGCTCGGTCACACACCACCGCGTTCCCTCCTGCACTGAAAACAATTCACCGCAGAACACGGGCCCTACTCAGAGCCCCTTGTTCGTGCAGTGGAGGGGCGCTCTGATCCACCTCCCTGTGCCCTGCCCGAGCTCTCGGCCCTTCCTGGAACAGGTGTGTGATCTGCCCTGGACGTGCACCCCCCGCCCTGCTTGGGGCTCGGCCCGGTCGGGCTCCTCTGGAGCTCCTCTCCCCCAGGAAGCTCTCATGTCCACGGTCCATCCCTAGACGGCGGCTCAGCCTCCCAGGGTGGTGGCCAGGCCGTGGGGGCCTAACGTCACCGCGACAGGGCCCTGAGCTGCTCCCACCCACCCTGCCCGCCTGTAGGCCCCACTGTCCGCCCCAGAACAGGGGTGGTGGTGATGCTACTGGTTACTCTGGTCTCACCATGGACCCAGCCAGAAACAGCCAGGGCTGCCACATTGACACAAGATCTCCGGCGTCTGAGGCTAGCCCTGAATTCAAAGTGAAATACAACAACAAGGAAGCTCTGGGCCACACGGGCCATTTCGGTGGGTGGACTCGCCCCTCTGTCTGCAAGCTGTGAGGTGAATGCAAGCTTCCCTTCCCTCCTTCCACCCCACCCCCGGCATCAGGGTGGTCTTCTCGCCTCCTTTTCCTCCCGGACCCCCCAGAAGGGCTCTCTCCTCCCCGGGGCCCCGGCCTGAGGCAGGGTCTTGATCCCTACATGCTGGGGTCTCAGCAACATCCTCCCACGGGCTCTCTCTGCGCCCCCGGCCCTCACCTACCAGGTGTGTCCCCCCGACACCCTATTCGTTCCCCTGGGGAAAGGCCATCCCAGGCACGTGAGGACGACTCCGGGGAGATGACAACTGGAACGGCTTCCAGTACCTCCGTTCCTACAGCTCCTGCACAGAGAGGCCTGGGGGCTGGTGGGAGGGGTGGGGTGGGGGCACCCCTGGGAGGGCAGAGCCTGCTGCCTGCAGGACAAATGCTCCCAATATCACCTGCTGCTCCTCCTGGACACCGAAGGACTGGGGGATGGGGACAGGACGTGTACACGCGGGTCAACTACAGCCCTCCACTCGCAGAATTACCCGGGGAGTGCGGAGGCCGGGGCTGTGGCCATGCTGCGGCCTATGGAGGACGGAGCAGCCCTGGCCGCCCACAGTCCTGCACAAAGGAGCTGCGGGTGAACACCGGCCTCACTCCCCTCCCACCCTCTGATCTCCTGCCGGCACCTCCACAGGCCAAACCTCCCCAAAGTCAGGAAGCAGGAGCCTGGTCCAGGTCCGTCCAGACCAGCCCCTGGGGCATGGCCAGGCCAGCAGGGGGAGCCCATTGGGAGGAGTGATGGACTAATGTCCACACCATCCCAATCCCCCTGTTACCCAGCCCTCCCACCGGGTCCCCCGCTGGGCCCCCAAAGCTCAGAGCTCAGACCACAGCCTGACCCTCCAGAGGCTCGGGCACTGGGGACATGGAGGACCTAGGAGGCTCTGAGGGCCGCACAAAAGAAGGAAGTCACCCCCATCGCCTGTCTATCCCTGTGAACACCCCAGACCAGGTGTCACCCGCAGGAGACAGGCAGACAACAGGAGCCGAGTCAATGCCACGGAACAACGGGGCTGCTGTGTGGGGCTGGCACCACCCGCTGTCCCTCTCATCCCAAACAGACAATGGAGATACCACGATGGTGTCCCAAACCCTGTCCTTCTGGAAAGCCTTCGCCAGGAAGGCACTGCCCCACCAACATGTGGCATGAGCGTGGTGTGTGCAGAATTTTAATGAGGAAGGAATTAACAAGTCCTTAAGCATCTTCCCTCACATTCACTTCTAATTAACCACCAGGGCCCAGGGCCTTGGTTGATGCCAACGAACTTGGAACAAAGGCAGCTGGGCTTTCAGATGAGCTGCCAGGGAAAGAATCAGGGACGAGAGAAGGGTGTGGAGTACATACGACCCCACCCCACGCAGGGAGGAGCAGCCCAAGTCCCTGCTGACCGCCCTCAGCAGTGACCTGTCCTCAGACGGCAGGCTGGGAGGGCGGTGAGGGGTGATGAATGAGGACACTGAAGGGACAGGTGTCCGGGAGGCGCCCCTTCCCTTCCCTGTCAGCCTGGTGCCCCAGCTAAGGCGGGACTCCATACCCTTCAAAGGCAGCAGCTCAGAGGCAGTGCCATGGCCTGGCTGATCGTCCTGGGGTGTGTGGAGGGGCACGTCCTGGGGTCTCAGCAGAAGGGGTGCATGTGGAGAGCCTGTCCTGGGGTCCTGAGGCAGGGGTGCACACGGAGAGCAGGTCGAGGGTCCCAGCACGGGAGGGTGCACACACAGCACAGCCGGAGCCCTGGCCCAGACAGTGTGTGGAGCGTGTGTTCTGGGGTCCCACCTGGGGTCCAGAAGATTATATACATGGATTTGCACAGGGTGGGCAGGAAGGGTCTGGGGAGGCCCTTCTGTGGGCCACCCCCTCCTGATATCAGTGCCCGGCACTGCTGGGGAGAGATGTCCAGATGGGATGGCAGAGACAGCCCGTCCCTGACCAGGCCTCATGCCAGATACATGCCCACACACCCACCAGGACACGAGCACTAGCACCCTTTTCCTCCACAGCTCCCCCATGGCCTCCTGGGGACCCCCCAGCTCTGGCCCCTGAGCATCCAGGTGATGCTGGCCAATCATCCGCTTCCATCCCCAGTGACTGGTTCTGGGACAGACATGTGGCCCATAGCAGCCAATCAGAACTACCCTGGGACTTCCACGGGCACCACTGGGAAGAGTTTCCCTCCTTGCTCTGTACCGCACACCCAGAGGATGTGTTGTGTCCCTGCCGGGGAGAGTCTGCCTGAGATGCAGCCAGTGCCGAGGCACCGGGCCATGGGGTGAGCAGGAGACACCTGCTGACATCACTGAGTGCCTGATCCCCTGCGTTTCCCAGGACTGAGCCTTTCCTACCTACAGGGGATTGACAGGTTGATTTTTCATTACGTTCAAGTAGCCAACATATAACTACCTACAGAAAATTTAACCTGGTTTGTATTCCTGGGAAGGAGGAGAAGGGGAGGAGAGAAGGAGCAAAGGGAAGAAGGAGGGGAGGAGGGAGGGGTTAGGAACAAGGGGAGGAGGACTTCCACACTAACACCGCCCCCCCACCCCCTCCCCGGCGCCCCACTCCAAGCCCGGATTCGGTGGTTGGCCGCCCCGGCGCCTTGGGCTGCCCCTCGGCGGAACGGCGAGCACCATCTCTCCGGCACCTCCTCCCGGCGCAGGCGGGGACACGTCACGGAAAAGCACTTCCACGTCTCGGGAGAGTCCTACATTGAACCTTTCTTACTAACGCTGACTTCATGGGAGGCACCTGCGAGGACACCTGGACCCCCACCCTCCCCGAGGAACACCGGGGACTTGGCCCACAGGAACCGCCCGCACGACCTCAGCGCCACTGAAGCTCCCCGGGTACCACACCGGCGCACCCCGAGTCGGGAAGAAGCGGGGATCTGTGCCCAGACCACACACCTGCCGGGCGGAGAGGAGCTCCCCGCCACCGCCCAGGGCCCCTGCCACGCGCGCGCCGCCCCTCCTCTACGAACCACACCCGGATTTTCTCGTAACTTCCTCCCCCACCTGGAGTCCACGTGTTTTCGGGAACTTGGACCCCGAACTCCCGCCCCAGGGATAGCGCCGTGACCCAAGCCTGGCCAATCAGAGCTCTCCACTCCTCTACCTCGTGAGAGCTGGCCAATCAGAGCACTCCCCTACAGCCCCAGTGAAGGCTGGCCAATCAGAGCACTCCCCCTCCTCTAACGGCCGGGAGGGCTGGCCAATCAGAGCACTCCCCTCCTCTAGCGGCCATGAGGGCTGGCCAATCAGAGCATTCCCCTCTTCTAGGCGCTGTGAGGGGCCGACGATGAGCTACGTTCCAAGCCAGGCCCTACAGAAATGATGAAACTCAACCCAGAGCTTTCGTGGGAAATGTAGGAAGAACAATAGCTAGAATAGCAAAGGCTGTTTTTAGAATTTTGTGAGATTCCTGAGCTCTTTATAGCGTCAGGGCCCCCACCTGAGGCCCGAGCCCCCTGGCCGGAAGCAGGAGCCCCCACCCTGTGCGGCAGCCTCACTTGAGCACTGGGCCAGGCAGAGCAACTAGCGGGGCCCCTCGGGTCGCATTCTGACCTCCGTGATCTCGGGAATTCTGCGGGGTAGCCCCCCAGACGTGCATGACCGTCCCTGTTGCAGTTGCGGTGGCAGGGCGGGAGCGAGACCCGGGAGGGAAAGAGCCCACCGGCACACACTGCCAGTCCGAGGCTGCGTGCACCCGCGCCGCCCCACACGCCATCTAGGCACTGCACGCCGGGGGCGAGGGTAGGCTGCGACAGGCTGTGGACGGGGTCGCAGGGCCCACAACGCCCAGCCTCTGTGCTCCCACACGCAGGGGCTTACCACAATGATGAACAGCGCAGGGGCCACGAAGGCCCACACAGCACCGCTCGTGATGGACAGCCAGCAGCTGTGGACGGAAGCAGAGCGTTAGGTCCGCACCACTGTTCCTCTGCCCCTCTGCCCCTCTGCCCCCGGGGGCTCTGGGCACCTCCACCCAGAACAGCTGCCAAGACAGTATCTTCTTCCACTACGGGGCCCATCTGAGCAGCCACAATAACACTGAGCCCCAACAGATGTCTCTGCATCCTCTCCACGATGATTTCCTGCCTCATTCTTGGGGTGAACCGTCCTCGTGCCTCTCTGCCCTGCTTCCCCCCGACAGCTCCAGGACCAGGACAGCGCATGGCACCTACTCTGAGGAGGCGGCATTTCCGGGAAACCCACGGCGAGTCTGAGTGGCCCCTCTGCAAGGTGCACGGCCAACCTGGGCTCCAGAAGGGGGGCGACTGCACACAGAAAGCTCTGCTTCCCCACATTTTCGTGCAGAATTCGACATCCCGGAGGATCCAACCGTCCTGTCCTCCTCTCAGGAAACGGGGAGCGCCCCGAACCTCTGCTGGGGGGGGCTGAGAATGCCTAGGGCACAGCTGGGGCTGTTTCTTACTCTCTCTGGCCTCCTTATTGCCAGGGCCTGGGTGGGGGGCAGCCCCGTACAGACAGATGGTGCCCCCAGAAGAACATGGCATGACAGGGCAGCTGCTCCGGGGGGGGGGGCGCTCACCGTGGTCTTTTCCCTCCTGCCAAACACAAGGATGTGTCCCTTCACTTACTTTTTATTTGTGCCATAACTGTTCATGGCAGATGACACTGAAATGATACAGATCAGGAGAGGAAAACCTGCGGAGAAAGAGAGCAGGAAATCATGGCCGCTTGCTTCGGGAACCCTCATTCCTCAGTCATTCATTCCTTTGCACCTGGTGTGTGTGAACCACGAGCGGGAAGTGCTGAGGCGCGAGCAGCAGGCCTCCAGGAGCCTCAGTCCAGGTGGAGGGCAGACTCACCCTCACGCACACGCACTCACATGCACCCGCACGCGCACCACGCACGGACTCGGAATCCTATCCCTTACAAATCCACGCCTGTTTCTGAAAACGACCCATCTGGCTGCCGGGACAGCAGCACGTCCTGGGGGCCTCTGTCCAACCCGCTCGCCCCACAGCGGGCTCTCCCCTGCTCCCCTGCCCTGAAAGAGGGGGGCCCGGGGATCCCTCCACCTGCTGGCTGGCTCCTCGAGGGTACCAGAGAGAAAGGGCTCCTGATAAGGAGGCTGCATTCTGCTTGTTCCCAGAGCGGAGGCTGGGCTGGTGACCATGCACGAATGCCCCCCCCCGCCCCCCAGCCTGCGCTGAGCCTGTGGCTGCAGAGGAAACAAAGCACAGCCTGCTCCGGGCTCTGCCTGGGCACCTCCCAGCAATAGCTCCTGGCCTTTCTGGCTTCAGTCTCAACAGTCTTGAACAGGAGTTTCCTGGAGAGCTGTCCTATCTCTGATCCACTGCTTCCGTGTCTAAATAGTTCAAATACATTACAGAACGTCCAGGCCTCCACAGAGGAGACCCACCGGCCTCTGGGGAGAGGTGGCCAGGCCAGGGGCCTCTCACAGTGGCCCTCTGTTACATGAGTGCCCCACAGGGGAGCACGACCTAAGAGAAGGCAGACTTCTCCCTGGTGCTGCACGCGCTGGGCTCCTGCCTGGACAGACCCAGAGCCACAGGAGACGAGCTGGCTCACTGGGACCTGACTCCAGCCCAGTGGCCCACTCCCTGGGGGCCTCCGTGTCCACAAATGTCACAGGGCATCCTCACTGCCTGGCTCATTTGTGGGAAGATCACATGGCACCTGAGATGGTGAGAGGTCGGGGGGGGGCTCAAGCCCTGGGCACCGTCAACCACCCAGTGCCCCAACAGTGCCACCAAGGCCCCCCAGTTTCACTGAGGAAGTGTAGGCCAAGGGCCATCCTTCCTCTGGGTCCACAGCACAGCAGGCAGGCACAGGGCCCCCATCCTGGTGGGTTCTGGAAGGTGTGGCAAGGACCGGAGGTGCCGCTGGAGATGGGTTTCAAACTCGGTGGTCAAGGCCTACACCCTCCTGCCCCGGTCCTCCTGGCCCACGTCGGTGGCTGGCATCTCTTTGCTGCCTGAAGTAAAACGGAGGAGTCAAAGGTTCTTTTTCTGCATTCACAACTCATTTGGTCCCAAATGCAGTGCTGGGGGCTCCCTCATTTCTTCCTGTGTCCGCCTCCCGGTGTCCCAGGCCACCGCATGGGGCAGCGACAGAAGCATCTGTCTGAGCAGAGGGCAGCCCCACTGTCTGTGGTTTCTGAGGCAAGTGGCAGGAGCCCAGCTCATGGCTGTGTACTCTTTTTTTTTAAGATTTATTTATTTGTTTGAGAGAGAGTGCCTGGAGTGGGGGGAGGGGCAGAGGGAGAGAACCCGATGTGGGGCTCCATCCCAGAACCCTGAGATCACAACCTGAGCTAAGGCGAAGAGTCAGATGCTTAACTGACTGAGCCACCCAGGCACCCCAGTGTGTTTGTTCTTAAGAAGAAATATTTCAGAGGTGGGAGGATGAAGATGCAGGAAACAGCCAGTAGGAAAAGCCTGGGCTCTGGGGCCACGGGACGCCTGGGTCGGTTCCCAGGGCCACCCCTGACCTGCTGTGTGGCCTCGAGGAAGTGCCTGACCCTCTCTGAGCCTCCATGGTCTCCCTGCGGAAATGGAGGTAAGAGCACCCTGCCCCCCGTCTGTTGTGAGGATCCCCTGTGTTGTGGCCACGTGCGTGAGGGACGAGGCCCTCCATGTGTCAGGTCAGTCCCTATAATCTGCACTGTCATTAGCCAACTCCGGTCCCGCTCCCGCTGTGGCCACCCCAGGAGCCGTGCAGGCACGTACGGGCTTCTGCAGACAGTTCAGGGTCCGTCTGGCCCTGTCGCATGGACACATACTTCGTAGAGTTGAAGACGCGCTCTCTTTGGAATGCGGTGGTGCTTCTCTGGCCCGGGGAGGGGCCGTGGGAGCCACGGCCAGGACAGAGCAAAGAGCGCAGGGAGCGGATATCAGGAGACCTGACACAGGGGAGGCGGCCTCACAGGAAAGGGCAGAGAGGAGACTGGAGACAAGTGGCCTGCCCTCCTTCTGCCACAGGCTTCCAGAGGCTTCTTTGGGCATGGGGGAGTCTTGTTGCGTGGAGGCTGCTGGGGCCACCAGCCTCGTTCTGGGCCACGGGTCGTGGACAGAAGTGACATGTGCCTCTACAGGCGGAGTATTTAATTTCCAGTGTGAGGTCCTTCCATGTCCTCTCCTCTCCCCCAGAAACCAGCAACAGTTCCAGGCAGTGACCCCTCCACGTGGGACTGCCACGAGCCCAGCGCCGCCCACTGCCACTGGGGACACGGAACAGAAATGGGAAGTAAAGGCATGCGGCTTTACAGCAAGCAGAGCTGGGTGCTGCTTGTTACCGCAGCGCTGGGTGGCCCAGACCAGCGCCCCTGCGCTTGGCACTTCCCCGGCTCCCTGGAGCTCCGAGCAGCCCCGGGGAAAGGTGACCCCAGTGAACCATGATTCAGTGTGTGCCCCAGATGAGTGGGAGCTCACCAGAGAAAGCTATAACAGAAGAAGAAAGCAGCTATATTTCTCTCACTTCTGAGTTGGTCCTCAGACATGCACATCTGCAGCAGGGATGTGCAAACTCTCAAACATTCCTCACAATCTCCTCTCCTCCACCCACGGGGACGCTTCAGGGACAGACATCATGGTTCACTCACCTTACGGGTCTGACCTAGGGCCTGACATCTAACAAAACCTCAACTTATGTTCTTGATTTGAACACCTCCAACCCCCAACTCAGCATCAAAACAGTCCCATGGGTCTCAAAGCCAGGGAGGACTCTGCGGGAAGAGGCCTTTGTGCAAGGGAGGCTCCCTACAGCGTGGTCTCCCCGTGCCCTGGGTCAGCCTCCAGCTCTTCTGCATTGGAAACTGAAGGTTGAGAGGGCCCAGCTGTGTGCAGACTGTCTTTACTTAGGCCCAGAGCGAACTCTACCCCAGTCAGAATGAAAGAGCCACTTCCTGAGCCCTGAAGACATCCCCCAGGGGGAAGCTGATGTGCAGATGGCTGCAGGCTGCCAGGTCCAGCACAGGGCTCCCTCTGCAGAAAGCAACATCCGGGGCTGCACCCTCACACACCTGCAGGGACTAGGCTGGTGTGAGAAACTACACCATCCCAGACAGTGCTGTCAAAAAGGATTGTAAACTCGGGGTTCCCAGATCGCCTCACTTTTCAAAAGATCTCTCTAATTTCTACAAAATCTCAAAATGTTTAAATATTGGTAAAAATAACTCATTTTTTTCCCCTCCATACTGCCAACCAAATAAGAGCCCAGGGGGGCTCAGGCTCCAGGGTGCTCACAGGCTGGATGTGGGACATCCCGGCCACCACAGGCAACTCCCTGCATGGCCCCAGCAGTGGGGGGGTGGGTGGCTGCAGAAAGCCAGGAGGGTGCAGAATGTACCTCCCTCACCCCAAACACATTACATCAAGCAGCTCAAAGCACAAAATAAACATGTTTATCTGCTCCCTGCACAATAAGAGCTGTGAAAATTTAAACCCGTTTGAAGAAACCCAGGAACAAGCAGCAGGTCGCTAATGCTGGATGAACACTTTCTCGCAAATGCAAGCATGGCAGGGGTCAGTGACACGGCCCACTCTGCACAGACTGGCAGGAAGCAGGCACTCCTCGGGATGGGGTGGGCAAGAAGGAAATTCATGGAGTCAAGTCAGTAGGGAGGGGGCTTCCGGAATGAAGCCATGAGCGGCTCCACAGACCCACCCCTCAGTGAGACAACCCTAACTGATGAAAATTTGTCTAAAAAAACCCCAACCATAGAAAGTCTCTGTACGTTTTTGTAAGGCCACACAACAAATTAGGAAAGACTAACTTAAGAAAACCTAGTAAGTCTTGGTAAGAACAGAGGGTCCACGACACTCGACTTGAGCCATGGCTTGCTCCACCCCAAGGAGACAGGCCTCCCCCACTGGGCCCCTCAGAGCTGCACTATCTCATGGGGGTGAGCTGCTTGCATTTCTCCTTGCAGAAGCTCTATCCCAGGTAAGAGCAAGAGAGATCAGATCTCCCTTCCTCCATCCAGCCTCAACCCATAGTGTGCAGGACCTGTCCCTGCTGTGACTCGCGGAGAACACAGGGCCCCGACTGCCCTCCCCTAAGGGCACTCACAGGGCAGAGGCTCTACGCTGTAAGAGGCAAGCTGGCCTTAGAGGCTGCCCACCCCGCCAGGGCCATGCTCTAACACTGGGGTGCTGCCCAAGAGAGATGAGTGGTGGTCCCCGCCCCAGCTCCAGAGCCCTGCCTCAGGGACTCTTCCCAGGTATGGGGGAAACAGACCATTAGCTCAGACAACTCCAAAGCACTCTTCATGGGAACTGATTTGTTTTGGAACAGAGAATGGGGAAGTTCAAGCCTAAGAGCATCTGGCCTCTTGGAGGCGTGTCATATGAAGGTGAAATCACATCCAACCTACTCCCACCGGCCCCACCCTATCCCCCCTACCCTCACCTGCCCCTCCCATCCCCAGCGGCCCCC